TGTAGAGTCCAGGTTTCCTTTGTTAAATCAACTAATAGCATCTGCCACACTGCTCATTTGGTAATTAATCTTGCAGCGAAATAATGCCATAGCGGTGTCACTTACACTATTGTCTTACCTAACCTCTTGTTTGCATACATTATTGTTACTTAGTTTGCCATATGTTTATGCCTTTTCCTCCTGAAAGACTACATATCTGTGTTCTCACCACTATCTTGCACATGGTAGTGTTTCAGAAATATGCCAGATCTACCCAAACCCCCAGTGAGGATAGGCTGTTTTCAGGGCAGTTTATTCTTCTGTTAAAAAGTTGTTCTTACTGTAAAAATTTTAAGTGCCTATAGATAACTTAAAATCATAGGATCTTAAAACACAGACACTATGCAGTCTATTGCCTTCATTTCACGATTGAGAGAACCTAACATTAATATAGTAGATTTTCCCAAGGCTACAGAGCCATTAACTTACAGATCTATAGCCTTGAACTCTGGTCTCCAAAGTCGCTGTCTGTTAATATTATTTCAGTTATTAGAAAACAATTTTCAGTCCACTCTTAGTCCTCTTAGGCCATAAGGTTTGAATTTCTCATCATGTTGGACACTTTTCTGGCTTTAGCCCTGTTTTCCAGTAAAGAGACTAAACAAAAACTCCCTGAGGTGCTATAGGGGGAACAAAAGCATTCATTTATTACTCATATCATTCTCATTGAGTATAATCTTTATGCAAAACACCTGGTATTCTTGTCAATTAAACATTGATCTGCCTTTGGATTTGGTCATTCTACTTTGTAGGAATAAATTACCTCTTAAGGAAATTAAAAAAGGAAAAGAATACCCGGTTATACAAAGATGGATTTCGTTTGCTATCTGGACGTGGTTCGACATCAGGAGAATGTCTGTAGCGTAACAAATAGTTGTGGGAAATGACATGTAGACCAAATAGCAATAAGGAATATTGTTAAGTGGGACAAAGTAAAACACAAAATGGGATATCAGTGGAATGTATAGGGATGTGAAGAAATTAGGGTTGTAAATTTTGGATCCTTAGAGGTAGGAAGGTTCTTTGTAAATGTTTGTTGTTCTGTGTGCTTCTGCTTCCCTGGCATTATTGATCAATTCTACAATAAGGACGATGGTGTCCAGAGCTGAGCATAGCCAGAAGAGGGGTTGTTGTTGGGGCGTGGGAGGAGGTGGGTAAGGAAAAATGGGTCTTGATCACGCCACAGGTGGCCTGGTGTATCATCACACTGAAGAGTGTGGTCTTTAACGTGCGGTTATGTGTTTCGATTCCCATCGATGAGCTTTAAAACAAAGCACACAAGCAAACAAAAAGCGGTCCAACCCTCATTTCTAGTGATGTATGTCTTACTCATCCTTTGATATAGCCCAAGCTAGGGAAGGTGTTTAGAACTCAATAATAGAAAGTTGATGATCAAAGAAAGCCTCCAGGTGCTTTTTTTTTTTTCACTTATTCTTCTACCAAGCAAGTTTTCACAAACCACAATTGTTTCATTAATTTTAAATCTTGATATATCAGAATTTTACATTTGTTTCTGCTGATATTTTTCTTATAACTTCCAGTTTAGTACCTCAAAAATTTAAGAAAAATTTTAGCACTTTTAATGAATCTGCCATGATGATCATCATAAAAATAGTTAATCGTTACTGAGTGCTTACTGTGGTTCAAGCGCTGTGCTAAATGCTTTGCCTCATTTTATCCTCAGAACAGGCCTACAAAATGGGTATCATGACATCATCCCTGCCAAAGATCATTTAGATAACAAGTGTCAGAGACAGGACTCAATCCCAGGTATGTCTGATGCCAAATCCCATGCTCTTAGCCACTACAGTGTGCCCTTTCTGAGCACTTCATTGAGTTTTGTCCAAGCCGCTGAAGACCCCAAGGCTAGGGACCAATCTCTGAGATAATCCACTAGAGAGTTCCTTCACAATGGATATATAGCTACTGATTCATGCTCTTTGGATGTTGTGATTTGTCTAATTGTCAATTTCCTTGGCAAGACCATGATCCATACAACTTTTACTATTTTCTTCACAAGACTATCATAGAAGACTATTAAATGCTTTACAGAATTGAAAAATATTATGATGATGACATTCTCTTTCTATACTAACATCTGCATTTCTCGTTTTTATCTTTTTTCCTAAGAAATATCCTCACTGACATTATTGTCTCCTTCACTAAATTATTCACCACACTTTGAGCCTTGTTTCCATCGAACTGTAAAATGAAGACGGTACTTACTTCACACATTTACATAGCTAGCATGCTCTAAACTCAAGTCCATTGCAAATCACCCCTGGTTCAAATACTTCAGAGGCCTCCACTTTCCATTCAGGGTGTTCTAACCCTAGTTTCAAAACTCCAAGAACCTCAGGAAATTTATAATTCTACTTTAAATAATAAAAATGATGCATATATGTGTGCTTTGCTCTGAAAAGTATTCTTAGATTTGTAGTAGATTATCAAAAATGAATTATGATTTTAATGGCTATAAAGACAAATTTTTCTAAGTATTTATATAAAATTCTTCATGACCTAATTGCTAACTCCCCAAGCCTCATACTCAAATTACCCTGCTCCTGTCACCCTTCAATACCCACTACACTCACATACACACACAACACCACACTGCCTGTGGTTTCTTAAAATGTGTATGCTCAGCTCCCCACGTACATACACGGTGGGCCTCATTCCTTCTACCATTTGTGAGGTCATATTCATCGTCAGACCTCAGTTCTGACATCATCTTAATGAAACCCACGCTGATCTATACAAGCAGCCTTAAGTGCTTTCATAGAGCTTTGCTCATACCATTCTTTTAAAGAATTTATCAAATCACTTTATTTGATTGTAGATTTATCTATCCTCCTCACCAAGTTTCAATTGCATAGTGAAAAAGACCCTGATAGAACAATTCAGCCCTCTTACCACCGTGGCCTAGTTCTAACCAGCAGTTAGAGAAGCCAGTAGCCATTCTTCTCCAAAATCTGGTAGTTGCTCAATAAACATTTGAACTAATGAGTGAGCAAATAAACTGAACAACACTATTGCAAATAATGGCCTGTGTTTTTGTGCCTTTATTGTTTATAAATGCGCACAAACCTTACCTTTCTGAGACCGAACTGTGAATAATTCGACATTTATTTAGTGAAAGGCCAATATAGTACAGGCTAGGTTTTAGGGAGTGTCACGGTCTCATTAAAGAAGCTAATGCCATTATTCCTTCCTTTTAAAATTTAGGGCTCTATGGGCAGCGAAGACTTAGCATGCACACGCTAACTTCAGACTCACCCATTGGCACTGTAATTATACACTTGGTACTGTAATTCCCTACTAAGAAGGCAAAATAATAAAACCCTCAGAATTGAAACTTTGAACTCTTACATACCCTAGTGCCAATCTTAAACTTTATGCAAACCAGCTGTGCAGGACTGAACACGTTGTATAAACTCTTTGCGCCTTGGTTCCATCAAACTGTAAAATGAAGACAATGCTTACTTCATACATTTACATAGGTAATATATAAAACACTTAGAAGTGTGCAACAAATAATGTTAATGGAGGTAATTACGATTAGCAAATGTTGATGATGTTGATGATTGGCATACTGCTGCTGCTAACATCAGCACATTGAACTGTAACTCATTGAGGACAAAGTACTATTGACAAAGTACACATTGACTCCTCAGTACCTACCGTAATACCTGTTACATAGTAGATATTAGATAACTGTTTGTTAAATTAATTGTCAATTGCCAAGTCCAAGAAATTGAAAGCCAAGAGGAGATAGAAAAGAGACTAGAATGAACTAGAATGATAAAGGAAAGCTTTATCGAGGAGGGAGGTGTACAATCGGTAGATTATTTTCAGACCTGGAGAAGAGGACAAAAGTTATTGAAGACAAAAGAAAATAAACATAACACTAAAGTATGTAGTCTGTGCCAGTCGTGGGAAGAAGTAAATGCAGTGTTTGGCAGGAAAGGGAAGCAGTGAGTATGTGACACAATTAAATACTTTATGTAACAATTACCAAAACTTTACTGTTCAATACCATGCCTAGAGATCAATAACAAAAACAATAATCCTAAACGTTGATACTTTCAGAAGCTACACACAGCAAAATGATTCAGGAAAATGATTCATTTGGAACACTCCATGGTATAGTGGGAAAAACATGAGTTTCAGAGGGAGATAAACCTAGGTTTGAATTTTTGTTTTACCACTTAACTAACTATATTATCTTGGACAAGTCACATACATGAAGCTTGGGTTTCCTCTTCCACAAAATGGGAATAATCATACCTATCCCACTGGGCAGATGTGGAATTGGAAGGAGATTATTCATGTAAGGCACCCAGTGAGTGCCCTGAGAGCTTCTGTTACTTTTAATAGTGTGAATTAGTGCATTTATGTGTTGTACTAAGTCGATGTGTATATTTTGGTTGCGTATGTTTTTGGACATGTAAACTTGAGCTTACTTGATCTGAGAGTAACTGGGCTTTTTGAAATGGAAATATCCAGAAAAAAACAAATGGGTTACGTGATACCACTTGGCCGCTATTCAAAATGAAAAAAGTTTTGAGTATGGGCAATTTATTGGACTGAATGCTTAACAGGAAACTAGTAATTGTCTTTATTAACCACCTGCTGTACAAACTGTCATGCAAATACTGCCTTATGTTTTATGCAAAACATTTGAAAACCCCTGTGCCTTTGTTCTGCTTGGATTTTCGTTTCTGTAGCAAAATACATAATTGAATTAATTTCAAGTGTGTTTGTCTGTAAACCAGCCAAATATTTCCTTTTAAATACTTGAGCTCTATGTTGAATATACAGAGTTATGGTTCTTAGTGCATTTACTTTTTTTACATTAAGGGGTAGATTTTGTTCCTTAATCCTTTAATGGGCTTTTAGTTTCACATACGCTAAAGTGTCTCCTATTTGCATAATAAATGAAAACTTTCCATTTCATGCAGGTTCTTCCAGGGGACCCAGCCCCCTAACCATGGGAGCCCAGGACACTCTCCCTGTTGCAGCAGCATTTACAGAAACAGTCAATGCCTACTTCAAAGGAGCTGATCCAAGCAAGTAAGCCTGATACTTGGTCCACAATCAGAAAAAATAGAACACTTTAGCCTGTTGAGTGTGAAACATCCTAATATAACCTTTTCATTCTTTATTTTAAAAAGCAAAAAAATAATTCAGTTAGCAATAGTAGATGGCACAGCTAGAATAGAGGTAAAAAATGTCATTAGGAATATTGATTTCATGCTTTTAAAAATGTATCGAGAACTTACCGTAGAAATCTTTGGTTCTGTTTTTATTGCAAGTAATGGAAAACTCTAACCCAGTTCTGTCAACAATGAGGAAATTTATTGTCTCATGAAAGTAAATGTGCAGATCATGTCTTTTATTGTCTTAGTTTTTCCTGGATGGGAATCACCCACATATAAATTAAAACAATTGTTCATTGGAATTAGGACATGAAAGAAAAAACACCTTTCCAAAACATCTAAAGTAGCAAGGGAACAAGTTTTCTGTGATCTTTACTACGTAATGAAAAACTGACTGAAAATGAAAGAGAAAGAAAAAATTATAATCAGAGCAAAGTAAAAATTATAGGGAAAATTCACCACCTTCTATTTACATGAGCCTGATTTCACTTATACGTGTAAATACTGGCAACGCACTTGATCTGAATGCATATGTGATGTAATTAAATATCTGACTTCTTGCTAAAGAATTCCATGGATAGGATTCAGAAAATTGATGGATTCCCTGAAATTATATTGTGTATTTTATGCATGTGTATGTGGGCATTAATCTATAAAAAGAGACTATAATAACATTTTTCACTTAACAAAGGGATTTGTAATCTAAAAAAAGATTAAAAGTGATTAGTGATCTATACTGAAAACTAAAAAACTAAGAGTTATTTTCAATAGTGTCGTTAATATGATTCCAGGTCTGAATTTGATCAACAAAGAGAAAACTTAGGTGAGGAAAGAATTGCTCTTAATTTTTTTACTTACAAAGACTAGTGTTTGGAAAAACTTAGTATTCATGACAATAAGAACAGGAAACCAGGCACAGTGGCTCACACCTATAATCCCAGCACTTTGGGAGGCTGAGGCAGGTGGATTGCTGAGGCCAGGAGTTCAAGACCACCCCTGGCAACACAGGGAGACCCTGCCTCTGCAAAAAAATACAAAAATTGGCTGAGTGTGGTGGTACACATCTGTAGTCCCAGCTACTCAGGAATTTGAGGTGGGAGGGTTGCTTGAGCCTGGGAGGCGAAGGCAGCAGTGGGTCATGATGACCCCACAGCACTCCAGCTTGGGTGACAGAGCAAGACTTTGTTTCAGAAAACTAAATACAATTTTAAAAACTGGAGAAAAAAAGTAAATGTGTATAAAGAACACTAGACTATATTATAAAAAGTTTTTGAAACAGTGATAATTAAATATAATTACAACTTGGATCACCATATATATATTAAGTGGAAATTGGTACGACTAATCATGAATCCTCTTGACAGTTCAGAAACACTAGTTTTAGATTTAAAACTCAAAATCTAACAATATTATACTGGAAAACTAATATAATTAGTAACTCCACCTTTTAGTGTACTAGCAAGCCACTAGGACCTTTCAACTTCATGTCTCTTTAAACAACATCTAGATTTCATTCTATGCCCAGAATATTATAGAGAAACAAACACTGTGGACTCTGGATTCTCCATGTCCTTTCTCTTTCATCTTCAAAACAGAAAGGCCATTTGCCACCTTCACATATCAATAGAAATTACAAGCTACCTCCTACAGAGCATACATCTGAACTGTTAAAGCGAGTAGACAACATGAGCGTTAGCTGTAGATATGCTTTATTCATACATATTTGTTCTGCAGAATCTTCTCTGGCCAAAGAATTTGCATAATTTTCTGTCATTTCAGTTCCGAAAAATATTTATCACCGACTACTTATGACCTATACCTTAGAAAATCAAGTTGGCCTGAATTGAGAAAAGCAGACAGAAACACCATTTAGTTTTTATTTTATTTTTTGAGCTAGGAATCTCTCCTTGTCACCCAGGCTGAAGTGCATTGGCACAATCATAGCTTACTGTAGCCTCAACCTCCCAGGCTCAGGCAATCCTCCCATTTCAGCCTTCAGAGTAGCTGGAACTACAGACACATGCTACACCCAGCTAATTTTTGTATTTTTTTTTTGTAGAGATGGGGTTTGATCATATTGCCCAGGCTGGTCTTCACCTCCTAGACTCACACGATCTGCCCATCTTGGTTTCCCAAAGAGCTAGTATTGCAGGTGTGAGCCACTGTGCCTGGCCAAAAACAACCTTTTTAAAAAATAAGAGTAATCAGGAGTGTGGAGTGAATGTATATACCTGAGTGAAAACCATCGGGAATCACACAAGAATGAATTCCTCTTTGCTTCCCAATTGGCTTTCGTTCATTCATCCACTAATTTATTCAGAGAGACCTACTTGGTCTCCCTTCTTCAGCTTTTGCCCCCCTACAAAGTCTCAACATACCATGTCACTCTTCTGCTCAAAATCCTCCTATCTTGTTCAAGGTAAAAACAAAGTGTTTCATAATGCTGTTATGAGGCCCTCCATGATCTGCCCTTTGAGACTCCCCAGCCTCACCCCAGTGGCTGTTTCTCTGATCCCATCTCCACCTTTCTTCCCTTATCCATGACTGTGCCTCCATCCCTCACCTCCATATTTACTCCACTCCATCCACATGGCCTCATGGCATCTCTCTTCTATCACCCCAATCCATCTGCATCTCAGGTATTTTCATTTGCTGCACTTCCTGCCTTCGTGAAATCTTCTCCTAGGTATCTGAGTGACTTGTCCCCTCGTTCCCTTCACGATTCTTCAGTAAATTTATCAATCCTATATAAAATGTTATTCCTATATAAAACAACAATATTTTTTCTATCCTATATAAAATAACAACACGTCTCCCCACTCCCGTCAACATTTTTTTCCTCTTTACCTCACGTTCTCTTCCTCCATAGTCCTTCTCTCTAACATCCTACATCTTTTGTTGTTGTTGTCATCCATTATCTGTCTTCTCCCCCACTAGAATGCAAATACCATGAGAGCTGGATTTTGCCTATTTGGTTCACTGTTGTATCCTCGGCTAAACAGGACAAAGCATATTTGCTCAACAAGTTGAATTGAATTACTCACCTAACATTTACAAAATGGCTACTAGGTACTTGTATTGTGCTAGACAGGAGATATATTAGTGATAAAGACTCCTCGTATGAAAACTAGGACTTGTGCACAAATATAATACCAAGTGCACCATAGAACAGGTGTAGCTATGGTGCAATAGGACTCAAGAAGCCCAATAACATTTTTTAAAATTCCAACAAGTGGTATAGCAACCTATCCCCTGTCAGCCTGTCACAACATAAGCCAGGGTTTTCATCCTGGTTCAGTTTCCCAATCCACTAAGACAGGCATAGGGTGCTCTGTACCTGCAAGCCTGGTGTTTGCGGCCTTGGCACTCCAATGACATGGCACTTGAGCCAAATTAATATTAGTGTTTTTCCTATACCTTCCTAAATTGAGCCTTTGACTTGTGGATGTATATAGAATCAGCTTTAATTATATTGCCATAAATAGTTGTAGGATACCCTGAATGCTGGCAGGTGGGAGATCCAATATAGTTCATTAAAAATTTGAGATCAGAAACTTATAAATGAATCATAAAGTGACACTCTTCTGTATTTAACTTCATCTTCAGCAACCATTTTATTGTTCTTCCTTTATTATTCACTTTCAAGGAAACAGCTCAAGTTCTATCACCAGGTGGAAATAATGCCAACCAAGGTACCAAACAGAGAAATGATGCAGCAAAGGCATTTGGACTTGATTTTGTCTATAGTTCCCTGTCATTCTTCATCAAAGCCATTCTTCTCAGACCATCCATTGGAAACAGAAATCTACTATCTTAATTATCATATACTATGATATGTAACCCATTTAAATATAGTTATACTCTAATTATTCAGAGCACCTGTAACAGGGATTCTGATATCTAAGACTTTCTCAGTAGCTGACAGGCAGCGAGTTCCTCGACCTTTGCTGCTGATTGGGGAAACACATCTCCCGCTATTAGTTCCTATTTAAACAATGTTGGTGCTTAAAAATAAGGGTCAGAGATTAGCTCTCTAATTCCCTGGAAAAGCTTAGGTTTCTCAGCTCTAGCCTATCTTTCTTTTATCAACACATTTTAATTATTTATTCAGTATCTGTCTTCCTGTTTAAAGTAGAGGTTTGCACAAGGACCATTTGTCCAATTTGTCACTGCCAATTCGAGCTCATTACATTGTGCCTGGTATGTTGTATAGGCGCTCTATAAATAAATATGTAAATGTATTAATTCATTTTTTAAACATTGAGTTCTCACTCTGAGTTCTGTGTTATGCACCGTTGCCCTCCCAGAACCTATGACACAGAACTTGTCTTCACAATAGTAGATCAGATGTGCACTAAACTGGAACACAGTTTTCCAGAAAAAGATCTGTACCAGTCTCCAAGAGAAACCAGGAATGGAAAAACCAAGGAAGGCTCAATGGAGAGGATCTTAAGAAACATTTCAGAAAGGCCTTCTTTTGAACTGAGTCTTATAATATGAAAAGTAGTACATAAGCCAAAGAAAGGGAATGGTAAAGAAGAGAAGAGAAGCTACATCCACACAGATGGACACCGAGAAAGAGATGTGGGGGGTTATTTAGCAGTTCATATAAGTCGTATTTTATGAGCGGGATGCATTTCTGATGACGTCACACCTTCCCTGAACAAAACTGGCCAGTGTTTCTGTGAGCAGCCCACGGGTGCTGCCGGTGGCACTAGAGAAAATCCAGTGTATAAGTCACTTGGCTGGTTGACTTTGAAGTTTTGCCATTTTTTGGCAAATATTTCATTTGTGAAGATTCACATGATTTCTTATTTTATTCATGAAGTAAGCATCTATTCATATTTCCATCTCACATTATTTCCACAATTCAAACTCACATGAAATGTAGCCACCTTGCATGCTGGTAGGAAC